AGTGCAGAAGGCAGAGGCTAAGGGAGGCTGGTACACAAAGGGGCCAGGTGGGGAGGGGTAGCAGCAGTGTCGAGGACAGATTCTAGGGTCTCTGGTGGGCTCCACAAGGCTTTTGGGTGCCTTTCCCTGTGACTCCTCAGCCCAGCTTCCAGGCTAGCCATGCTGGGTCACCCATAAGGCCAGGGACCCTGAGAATACAAGGAGAGAGGGAAAAGGCCCAACCTCAGCTCTGGAGTCTTCTCTGGCAGCGGTGGACGTGCTCTGACACCATGCTGGGAGCCCTTGGGAAGCAATGTTTGTGGACAAATCTTCCCAAAAGTTGTGCCAAACAATTATAGGCTTACTAGCGTATTCTTACCTTTAGGCAAACCAACTGAGTTCCAAGTCTCCAGCCCACTCGGCCCAAGTAGTACGATTTCTTTAGTGAGAAAGGGTGGGAAGAGGCCAGCCGGGGAGGCGGGTGTAGCCACAGCTGGGCCACCTCCACCTGGCTCCCGCCCTGGGCTCCCAGCAGCATCCGGCTTTGGTACCTCTCCCTGCCTCATCTCTTTGCCCGGCTGGCCCTGCTGGCCCTACTGTCCCTCTGTCCTTTGTCCTTCACCTTCTACTTTCTGCCTTTTGTCAGTTTTCCAGTCTCTTCCCTGTCTTTCTTGCTTTTGGGGGGCAGGGGAGTGGAGGATCAAATCAAAACCCAGAGAGTGGCAAATGACATCCTCAACCTTTATTATTATTATTATTATTGTTGTTGTTGTTATTTTAATTTTTGAGACAGAGCCTTATTAAGTTGTTCAGGCTAGCCTCAAGCTTTTGATCGTCTTTCCTCAGCCTCCCAAGTAGCTGGGATTACAGGTGTGTGCTACCATGCCTGGCCTCGTCTTTGCTTTTGTCTTGTTTCTATCTTGCTGCCTGTGGGTCTTCCTCTGTTCTCTCTCTGGCTTTCTCACTCTCTCCAATTCTGCATCTCTCTCTTTCCCAGTCACTCGCTCTCTCGCTCTCTCTCTCTGGTTCTGTCTCCATGGCTCTGGGCTCTCTCTCCTGTCCTCCACTTTCCCTTTTTCTTTATTGTTCTGTGTCTGTCACTCTGCTTCTCTCAGCCTCTCTACCTCCCAGTCCGTCCCCTGGGTCTACCTGGAAGCTCCTGAAGCTGGAGGCTGGCAGCAGCTTCTACTCTCCCTCCCAGAAGAAAATAGCAGACCAAACCGAAGGGCCCAGGGAGGACTCAGACCTGGCTGGGACCCGGTGCCCGCCACCTCTACTAGGGGAAGGGGAGAGGACACAGGAAGAGAGGTGTAACCCCGTGGTACATCACCCCACAGTGCTCCTGAGGCCTCCCCAGCCACCTCCTTCCCTCCAGCGCTCCCCCATAAGCTATTCAGGTTGCAGCTGGAGCTGAGCTTCATGGGACGGGAGACTGCCAGTCAGAGTGACAAAGGCCAGAGTGTCACGGAGGCTACCTGCTGCGACTATGTCAGGACCCTTGAGCACTGGCAGGAATTTGGCATCTGGGTTCTAAATTCTAGCTTGGCACCTGCTGACTGTGGGGACTCAGGCAGCAAATGGGCTGAGAGCTGGATGTGCGCTGATTAGAAGATGGGAGAGAGGGATGCCCGGGGGTGCGAGCACTAAGTTGGGCACAAGGGGGACAGAATAGGTGGGGGGGTGCTCTTCCCTCCTCCTCCTCCCTTCACTTTCCTGCCACTTGGGACGATGACATTAAGACTGGACTCCAGGCCGCTGGGTGTCTGCATCCCAAAGTGAACCTGAGAAGGTTCCCAAGCTTCTCTGGGCCATGGCTTCATTGCGGATTCTTCCAGAGAGGATCAGCAGAGAGAAGGGTGTGTGGGGGAGATGGTGGCAGGGCCAGTGCCTCATTGAGGTCCGTCTGGGTGGCAACCCTGCCTCAGAGAACACGCATCTACCCCTGAGAGGCTTGAGTCAGAGACAAAGGTTCTGCAGCTCCGCTCCCTCACTCCCTAGCCCCAGACACACTTGAAGTTTCTAAAGTTTGGTTTTTGCTATTTTTCATCCCTGTGAGTTGCAGAAACTCATACTGCCAGAACCAGCCTAGGAAAGGTAACATGTCTCTTGTGCAATTCGAGGTCAGTACTTTTGGGGCCTCAGAGGGTGCCTAGGCTAGTCCTTCCCGGGTCCCTCACAGCCTGAAAAATGGCACCTAGAGGCCTGAAGAGAGGAAGTGACAAACCACAGGACCTGCTGCAAATCAGTGACAGCTGAGTCCAGAATTCAAGCCTCCTGACTCAGGCTCCTCTGCTGTTTGCTTGCTTAGCCCTCCCTCTGTCAACTGCTGTCTGTCCTTCTCTCTCTCCCTCCTTCACCATGCAATGCATTCTTCATTCCTCAACAAACAAGAGCCTGAGCAGCTAAGACTCACAGCCAGTTGGAACTTCTTCCGGTGCGTTCTGCTCTGCGTCACCAAAGGTGAGCAGCGTGCGGCACCACCTGCCCCAGGGACTCCACGATAAGGCACAGCAGCCTCCGCAGCCAAGCGGTGCCTGTGTTGGATCAGGGCCCCAGCCACAGGCCCAGCCTCACCTGGCTAAAGGATGGTCCTGAGAAAGGGCGTCAGCAAGCCCTCTTCTTGCCTGCCTGCCTGCCTCACTGAGCAAATTGTAGGGCAGAACTGAAACGGAAGAACTAGAACTTGGCTGAAGGGGCAGGAGCTGAGGATGTCCCTACCCAGTGAAACCCTGCCCAGGAACCAGACTGAAATTTACACCCTCAGGGCCTGCGTCTTGAGTACACTCCCCGACCTCAGCCTGCAGTCTGAGCAGGCCCTCTTCTCTGGAAGTCCTGCCATAACTCTATATGGCAGGACCAGTGGGTGGACAAAAGTCCATCTGTCCCCTACTAAGGAGCCAGGTGGAACTTCTGCCTCAAGCCACACAGGTGGCACATACAGCACACAGCCAGACATTCTGATGTCCTCCTGACACACATGCCACATCCCAAAGAGAGTGGAGAAGGCTTTGCCATGAGGTGCTTTTCCAGTAGAGCTGTGCTGCCCTGGGCAAAGCATAATCCTTGAAGTAGACAGATCTCCATCTAAATCCAAGCCAGGATGTCCTTGCTGAGTGACCTTGGCTAAATTACTCAACGTTTCTGAGCCTTGTTCTCCCCATTGATATGAAGGCCTGCCCTCACTCTCCAAGGCTCTGCTGGGGGGTAGTGCCCACTGAGCACACTTCATCAGAGCATGTATTAGATAAAGAACTCCTAGAGGTGAGTGTGCAGGGAGGGGCACAGCGAGGGAACGAGCAACAAAGCTTTGGAGCCAGCTGACCAGAAGCTGTGGGAGTCAGCAGCAGATGTAACCTTGAGAACATCTGTGTGGACCAATGGCCTGGGGCCAGCAGGAGGATACATCTCTCCTCAGCCTGGGGCTCCTCAGAAGGTGGTGTGGGTGGGTCTTGGCCAAATGCTTAGAGAAGAGAGAACAGGCTACAGGAGAGACTGAGTCCTTGGACCTCTGAGGACCCCAACATTGTCACCAGCTTATAGATTATCATACTGGCAGTTGGCACAAAGTGCCTCCTTTGGGCGTATGCCACTGTGCAGAGAGCACATGACTTGGGAAGATACCAAGGGCTTGATTTCTGCTCCCATTGGCCCCCTCAGCTGGGTGTCCTTGTGACTGTCCTAAAGTCCCCACCATTTCCTGACCCAAACATTCATTCACTCATTCATTCATTCAATGAAGACCTACCAAGCACCTACTATGTGCCGTGCAGAGGCACTGCTGTGTCGAGGAGCACCTCTGGGGCCACAGAGCTTGCCTTTGGAGGAGAGACGCTTACAGCGCATGTGTAGTGCTCTCTGACTGCAGGCTATCTGGAATCCTGAACAGAACAAGGCTTCAAGTCAACAGTATTTACTGACTGTCCACCGAAGGTCTGCCCCAGGTTACAGCAGATCAGCTCTGTGCCCTTGCGTGAGCCACTTTCTCTCTCTGGGCCTCAGTTTCTTCACCTGCAAATGGAGGCCTCAGGTTAGATGAGAGACAAGGGCTACTGTAGCTTCTGCAATCCTGCAGGGTGGTAAGGGGAAAGGCGAGCCGATGCCGAGGGTGAGGGACTGGCTTACAGAATCTTGGCTGTCTTTGCAGCCAGAGCCTCAGCTGGCTTCCCATTGTCCTATCCAGTACTAGCAGGCTTCTCTGACCACTCCCGCACCTGATGTGGTCTCTTCAGACGCCGTGTGGTTGTTCAGGCTGTGCGCTTGGCTTGGAGTGCCATCTCCTATTTTTTCCTGGTGAAATCTCCTTATCGTGGATATTGTACAGAGGACTTAACCCTAAGGTGGATGGAGGGAAGTGTTCAGACCAGACACCCCCACCCTCCCAGCCCAGAGTGTCTTATATTTTCCAGAAGACTCAAAAAAGGGTTACTACTGTCCAAGAAAGGCTGGGGTGACTACGTGCCACATAGCATTATACGTGGACCCTGGCCACCCAGCTCTGGTCTCTGGAGACCTTTCTGCTGCTACTTCCTAGGACTTTCCCCCCCTCCCCAGCCTGCCTTTGGGATCATTTCAGAGCATGGGCTCTGCTTTGGCCTGAATGTACATGTCTTGCCAAATTCATAATGTCGAAAGCTCGCCCCTAATGCAATAGTATTAAGAGGCAGGACCTTTAGAAGGTGCTTCAGTCAGGAGGGCTGTGAGTGGGATTTGATTTATTGAAAGGGACAGTTAATGTGTAATTGTTTGAGCATTCTTACATGCCTAGATCTGGTTATCTGAGCAACTGCTTTGAAGATAACAATATGTAATACGACAACCATTGCTAATTTCCTATCACCTTGTTTTGAAATTCTGTATCGTTTTTATTGTTTCTGTGTTGCTTTGGTTTTGCCTTTGTTTTTATTATTTTGTTTTTGTTATCTTAAAAATAAAATAAAGGGGCTGGGGATTTAGCTCAGCGGCAAAGCACCTGCCTGGCAAGCGCAAGGTCGTGAGTTCGGTTCCTGGTACCGGAGAAAAAAACCAAAAATAAAATAAAATACAGCTGAAAAAAAAGGCTTGAGGGAGTCTTCTGCCCTTCTTCCATATGAAGACATAAGTAGAACGCAGACATTGGAAGCAGAGAGTGAGCTCTTACTGGACACGGAATCTGGCTGGCATCTTGATCTCAGATTTCCCAGCCTCCAGAACTGTGAGAAATAAACTTCTGTTAGTTATAAATGACTCTAAGCTATTTTGTTATAGCAGCTTGAACTAAGAGAGGCTCTGGAACCAGACTGACTTGTGTGCCCAACCCAGATCTGCCCTCTTCTTAATTACATGATCGGGAACCCTCAGGCCCCACTTGGGGGCTTCAGGTTCGCGCACCTCTCAGTTATGATCCGCTGGGGAAAGCGCGTGTGTGGAAGCTGCTTGACAAAGAAGCGTGCTGGCTGCCTTTGTCTGCAGCATTCTGCTGAGCTCGGCGCTTGCATTCTACTCTCTGCATCCTCAAGCTCCTCCCAGTTTCCAAAGCACAAAGAGTCATCCTTTGCTTTGGAAGCTTTTCCAGTGATTTCCCACCCAGGATTTCTCTAAACGCCCCTCCTTTTTAACCCTGCCCCTTTGCTCTCTCCAAACACTTGGCTTTGTCATCCATGAGCCTGAAGTCCCCAGCTCCATGCAGGCAGCACCAGCAGAGCCCTGACTTACCCCAAAAGCCTATCCCAGCCAAACTCAGGGCTCTCAGGCTTGATAATCTGGGGTGCAGTGTTGGAGGGAGTCACCCCAACTTCTCTCAGGCCCTTGTGTCCCCAGCCAGTGAGCTGGCATGGCACCGGCACACTCTTTCTTGCTTTTCTGTGCGCCCCCCTTGTTAGTGCATATGGCTCTCATCCCTACTTCCTGAGCAGAAGGTTCCCCTGGGGGGCAGCAGGCACAGGGCTTAAGAGTATAGACTTTTGGTCTGCGGGCCTGGGCTCTATTCCCAGCCCTGCTACTTTCTACCTGGGAGGCCTTGGGCATGTAGCTTGGCTACTCTGACCCTCACTTCATCCCTCTGCAAAGTGGAGGTGATGGTCATAGTCCCTTGCAGGACTCTGAAGTCACAGGGATTGTGCATGATGCCCGCATGCCACATAGCAAGCGCTTGACTCATTTGTGACAACAGTTTCTTTACAAAAGCATTTCATGGGATGCCAGGCATACTGTGGATACTCCAAAAGTATTCACTAAGCTGATGCTTGGCTCTCAGCAAAAGTCAAGGCACTGCTGCCTGTGGCCAGAGAACTTTGTAGATACTTCCAGGACCTCAAAGTTTGCCTTCTTGTCTGTCCCACGGTAGCCTGCCCACCCTCTGCCTGCCCACTGAAATCCCAAGAGGAATTGCGGAAAGGCCCTGTGTGCGGAGCGAAAAGAACAGGCTCCGCCCAGAGCTGGATCTTGTGGCACTCGTGGTAATGAACGCAAGCTATGAAGGCGGCAGTTCTGGGCCAGGGAGTGGAGTCTGAAGGCTCCAGCCCAACCTGATCAAAGGCAAAAGACAAATTCTGGTTCTATAGCTTCTGGGCTGTGTGACTTTGGGCAAGTCACTAAGCCTTTCTGAGTCTGTGTCTCCTCATTTGAATGAGAATAATAAAATATAAGACTTACCCTATCGTTCCGAGAGAACAGTGGAATGATGCGGAACGCGTTGCCAGCCTGTGGGAGATGGCAGAGCCCACATAAGCAGGTGTCGGGAAGTCCCAGATGCAAAGCTGGGAGGCGCTAAGGCAGGCACAAAATGGCAAGCTATGAGTTGGCTCTTAGCATCAAATGCTGCCCAAGTCCTTTCCCCTAGCTAGGCCCTGAGGTTGGCACTGGGGATTCCTGGAGGAGTCACAGGCTCAGGCCCTGGGACTGAATCAGCCTCTGAGGGGTCTCGTGTCCTGGCAGCTGTCTCAGGCTGGAGGCCCTTTCCTAGGGACCTTAGCTGAGCCTTTCACTTCCTGGTGCCCTCCTTCCCCGTGCAGCCCGTTAAGCTCCAGGAGAAAATTTTCCTTTGTCAAGTAACTGCCACCCCGAGAAAATAGTTTCTCCTCCGCTGGCTCTAACCCAGACTCTCACTTGGAGAAAGTAAATGGCATAAGAGTATGCGATTGGACTAAATGGCATGAGAGCACCAAGCTGCAAAGGTGCTGGAGAGCCCTCGTTCTGGATGCCCAGGTAGCAGCGATAGTGAAAACAAGGCCCTACTTGCCCTCATGGAGACTGTGCCTCAGTGGAGGAGACAGCCACCCAGACTGTGACTGGAACTATGACATGTAACAGACATGGAAGAAAAAGAACAATAGGGTGGGGGCAGGAAGCTATTTTTACTCCATCAGCAAAGAACGCTTCCCACTTGCTGGTTGGGCTGAGAGACGAATAGACTGACCAAGGTTACCCAGAAAGGCTCTGCATATTTCGGAGGTCTAGAGCCTCATGACCCTTCCTGCTCCAAGCTGCCCCCAGGGCTTCTCTGACTCCGTCTCGCCTTGTCCTCCTCATGCCCGCGCCTTCCAGGGGCTCCCTGGCCTCCCAACCCTTTCCTCTCTGGGGCAGCAGAAGCTGCTGGGATGACCTCAAGCTGAGCCAGCCAGGGCTCACTCAGGATGCAGTGTGGGACAGAGGCTTGGGGCCTTTTCCACAGTGGGAGAGTGATGGGGGCCAGGAACTTGCACAGGCAAATGGTGTCTATGAAAACACTGGTTGCTGACAGCTCCAGCTGTGGGGGCCAACAATGCCCCGTGGTCCAGCTGTTGGCCTCACCCACATCGTTTCTGCAGCAACAGATTGACAAAGAACCTCATAGCCCATCAACAGCAGCAAAAGATTACAGAGCTGGAAGGGGGCAAGCAGGGCCACCAGCGCTGGTGATAGCAAGTTAGCAGGCTCAGTTCTCTGCCTCTAAGGTTGTCTGGACAGCAGGGGTCACTCCTGGGCTGAGAGTGTCTCAAGGAGGGTGGGGCCACAGCCTCCCTGGTCAAATGTCCCAGATTTTCTGCCCAGGAATGAGAACTGAATCCAAAGGTGGAACCAGAACCGTATTACAGAGCTGTCGCAAGAGGAAGTGAGCCCCTATCCCTGAAGGTATGTAAGCAGGGCCTGCACACCCGCCCAGAGCTTCTGAGATGCATGCTCTGTAGGACATTTTGGCATTTGATAGGGGTAGGACTGGAGGCCTTCATTCCGATTCCTGCCAAGTTCCTAACCCCAGGTCCCAAAGCCCACTGGCTGTCCTTGCTTCAAGATGCAGGATTCCTAGTCTGCCCTCTGCTCCCAGCACCAGGAGGGGCGGGAACTTGCTTCCTCTATCGCCCCCTTTGCTGAGTGGGTCCAGCCCAAGGTCTCGATGGGACAACCCCCTCCCCAACCAACACTTCTGCTAATGCATCCTCGCTGGCCGGCTGGGAACCGCAGACGTCGCTGTGACATGAGGGGAGATAAGGGGGCTCTCACATTTCCCCCGGCTGGGCTCCTGGGCCGCCAGCATTCACGCTGGCTGATTTCAACATGAAAGGGCCCCTTGAGAAGGACAGCCCCCCCTTCTTTTCCCCCTTCCTTTTGCTAAGCTCCACTCTGTAGCTAACCACTGTCTGAGTGGCCCTCCCTCTGGAGCACCCCACACCCCCCTGCCAAGCCTTTCCCCAGCTGCTTCAGCTTCCCTTCACTGTCTCCCCGCCAGGAGTGCGGGGCACAGGGCTTCCCCTCCCAGCACCGTACTGGAGAGTAGAAGTGGTGGGGACATAGGGTGCTAGGGTGTGGTCTGGAGATCCAAGCCATTTGGTCTGCTAGGCTGCTACGGTTGAACAAATCTTTGTGGCAGAATATATGTAGAAGAGGTGGTCTCCCGGGCTCAGCTCCAAAGAGGGGCGGAGCATCCTCAGGATCGCCGAGTCCTGAGGCCTCAACCCCCAGCTCTCTTCCCCGGCCAGCTCTTCTCCTTAACTGCTTGCGACAAGCACCTTTCAAAAGCCCACCAGCACATTTCACATCTGCCACCAGAGGCCTTCTAGGGACCTGCCCCAAATCTTTTATCTGGCAACTTTTTAAACCTTTATTTTGAGCTAATTTTAGACTCACAGAAAAGTTGTAAAAAATAGAACAGATCGCTCCTGTACACCCCTCACTTAGCTTCCCCTAGTATTAAAATCTTACATAACCATAGCACAATGATCAAAATGGGGACTTCACATTGGTTCAATACTATCCCTTGAACCACAGATTGTACTGGAATCTCCTCAGTTTTTCCACTAATGCCCTTTTTGCGTCTCTAGGGTCCTGTCCTGGATTCCACATTGTATTTAGTTGTCATATCTCCTAAGTCACCTCCAGTCTGTGATGGTTCCTCGGTCCTTCTCTGTCTTTCATGAGCTTGACTATTATTTTTTCCCCCAGTACTAGGAGTTGACCCCAGGGCCTTTGCACTGAGTTACATCCCTGATCCTTTTAAAATTTTTTTTTCTTTTTTGAGACAGGGTCTTACTAAGTTGCCCAGGATGGCCTTGCACTTGCAATCCTCCTGCTTCAGTCTCTGGAGTGGCTGGGATTATAGGTATGCGCCGCCATACTGTGCTAATCTTGACATTTTTGAAGAACAGGTGTTTTGTTGCCCATCCCTTGATTCAGATTTGCTTGTTTTCTCATTATCAAAGGGAGACCATACATGTTGGGCAAGAATGTTGGAGAAAAGGGTTGGCGCCTCAGCTCTCACATCAGTGTATATCAGTTGGTGCTTGATCACTTGGTAAGGCTGATATCTGAAGGGTTCATCACCGTAAGTTATTCTACCTCTCCTTTTAGTTGATAACTATCTTGGGGAAGATATTTTGAAATGTTCAATCCTTGTTCCTTCTCCAGTGCTTACCCACTAATTGTCATATACGTGGGTGGATCACCACTCACTATGGTCCCGTGTGATTATTTTTTTTAGCAGCAATGTTCGAGTTTCCTCTTTCTTTCCGTGTGTAGTGACTCTAAGGGAAAGCCATCCTTCTCCATTCATTCATGCACTCAGTTATTGACATTCATGTGTGCCGACAGGTATTTACCACTGTATATTCTGTAGGTGAAAATCCAATATTGTCTACCTTCCCCGAAGAGATACCATGTAATTCTGGTAAGTATATGCTGCACTTAGTGATACCCATCCAAACAGAGGCTCATGGCAAGGAGAAATAAGGAACGTGAAAAAACTGACAGACACCCCCTCAACTGGGTGATCCAGGTCAGCATCACCAGCAGACTGTAGGCAGCACAGATCAGATAAATGGAGCAGGTCACCCCATCTTTGCGGTATTCCTCCCTGAATACACTCCCTACTTTAAGTATGAGAAAACCATCGTGGTTTCTCAAATCCAAATTGAGAGACAATCTACAAGATGCCCAGCCGATACGCCTCAAGATTGTCAAAGTCATCAAAAGCAAGGAAAGTTTGAAAAACCACCACAGCGCAGAGGATCCTAAGGAGACATGGTAACTCAATGTGATACAGTGTCCTGGGTGGGATGCTGGAACAAAAGCTCCTGAAATCTGAAGAAAGTATGGGCTTTGCACGAATGATAAAATGTCAGTATTGGTTTGTTAAGTGGGACCTGTGTACTCTGCTGATGTGACAGGTTAGCCGTTTAAGAAAGTAGATACAGGGTATATGGGAACGCTCTGTAGGATCTTCCCACCTTTTCTGTAAAAGTAAACCTGGGTTAAAATAAAAAGAAATGATGAAAATGCAAGACTATCATTACTTACTGTCTGCCCAGATCGCCCCCACTTTGGCTACGAGGCCCCCTCCTGTGCCCTTTGTCGAGGCCCCCATCCATTGATGCGCGCAGCCTCGTTTTCTTACACCGCCAGATGGTCCAGGCTTGTGTTGGACCTTGCCTGCTCTGGCCCTCGTTCAGCCGTCTCTCTGAGGCGCCCTGGTTCCTCTGGTTGGGGAATGGTGTTAGAAGCCAAGACCCGGATGCCAGGTATACTCCCCATCATGGGGATGTCATTGCTTCTAGGTCCCAGCAGCTGACAGAGGTGGGAAATACGTGTGTGCATACTAGCCCAATCTGCTGCAATCAAAATATTATTTACTCATGTCATTGCTTTAAGAGATCTACTTCATTTACTGCAACTGCCTCAGGGATTCCTTAGCAGGGATGGAGCAAAATCTTACTGAACTAGTCCCTTCCTGGTAGCTATTCCTAGTGGTACACGTCTTCCTTTTACATTGTGAAAATGCTGTAATCCATGTGCCAAGTGTTTCTCCAGGGCAGACACCAAGGTGTGAAATTGCCCTGGCAGAAGGTCTGGGTATCTGAAATGCTGATGGCAGTTGCCAGTGTGCTCTGCAAGGTAGCTGTACTATGTAACTATCTAACATTCAAGTTCATTCCTGTGCCAGCAGGGTCAGCTTTCTCCAGCTTCCACCCCCCACCTCTCTCTGTTCTCTCCCACTTTTCCACCACTACTCCACCCCAGCGAAGTACTTGCCATTTTCTCTCATGCTACCGGGTCTCTCCCTATGTTGTTCTTTCTACCTTTCTAAAGAATAATATCCTTATTCTCTTAGGGGCACAGTGAACTTCTACTCAGACTTCAAAGCCCATCTCAGAGGGCATATTCTATGTGAAGCCTTTCTGAGCTTGCCACCCAGACAGGCAGCTGGTGACTCCTTCAGTGCTGCCACAGTGACCTCTTATATGACAGCCTGGTAGTCACTTCCTCTAGCTTCCTTGTAACCTTTCATGGGCGCCTAC